ACTTCTGTTTTTTCCTACTGAATAGCTTTAGTACACAAGGTGTGAATTTTCCTTGTGCGTAATTGCGTAATTTTTTGTATTTGTTCAACTATATCAAACCAACTATATTAACTTTTCCGTTAATATAATCGTTTCGCTTGACTATGAGAATTATTCATCTTTTTTTGAATTAATTTTAAATTGAAATGTCAAGCGCCTACTTAAATCTAGCTAATCCAAATAGGTTCAAATTGATAATCATATATATATATATATATATAAAAGAGAATTTTAGTCCCGCCTACGTGGCGCCACCACATATAAGAATTCTTTTTTAATTTATTTATTTACAAAACTAGTTTTCCCCTTTCATGAAAAGTTGTGAAATTTATGAAAAATTGTGACTTTTATGAAAAGTTGTGACTTTAATGAAGAGTTGCGACTTTTATGAAAAGTTGCGACTTTTATGAAGAGTTGCAACTTTATGAAAAGTTGTGACTTTTATGAAAAGTTGCGACTTTAATGAAGAGTTACGACTTTTATAAAGAGTTGTGACTTTTATAAAGAGTTACGACTTTTATGAAAAATTGCAATTTTTATGAAATGTTGTGACCTTTTCGATGGATTGCAACTTTTTCAAATAGTTGTAACATTTTCGATAAAGCACAATAAACATTTGTTCACACTATCCTTTATTGTCTATAAATAGAGGGATTTCCTCTCATTTTAAAACAACAAAAATTCTAAACCTTTTTTTATTCTTCTTCGTCACAATTAATTATTTGTGTACTTTGCTCTACGTAATCTTGTATGTAAGATAATATAGTGTTTTAGTTTTAATGACCGATAGGTTTTAAGTATATTTTATAAATTTCATGATATTAAATACCCGCACGAAGCGCGGATAATTTTACTAGTTGGTAAATAATCATTTGGCACTAATTACGTTTCGGTTCTCATTATGTATTCAAACTAAATACTTTCTCTAGTTTTTAAGCATAAAAATACTTTACTAAAGTATCCTTTCAATTGTCGAAAAAACAAATGGAGATGCGGGGGATCGAACCCCGTGCCTCTCGCATGCAAAGCGAGCGCTCTACCATTTGAGCTACATCCCCTCTTGTTTATCTTGACCAAACAAATATTACTACTTATTAATATTATATACTAGACACAAGTGCCCGTGCTAGCATGGACCCAATATCTGTTCATAGATAGAATTTAGAGAGTCAATTAAATTTTAATATGATTTAAAAAAAAATTTAAGTTAATGATTGTAATTTATAGTACTTTTAACGTAATTTTTAACTAATACATGTTACTTCTCTTGTTCCAATGTATGTAGCACATATAAAATTTCAAGAGTCAATCAAATATTGTTAATTGTTGAGATTTACATTACTTTTATGTAGTTTCCAAAATAAATAATACATGTTACTTATTTTGTCTCATTTTATGTGAGACATATTGATAAATTTTATGAATCAATCAAATTTTTTATAAGCAAACGAATTATTTATAAAGTTATCAATTATCATGATTTATAATATTTTTATGTAATTTTTAAATATATAAAAACTAAAAAATAAAACAAACAAATTAAAATGGAAAAAAAAAAATTGAATATAGGGGAAGCTGCCAAGCAGGCATGTCGACCATGACCTGCTTGGTTATCCCCTCTTATATATTAGTAGGGATATAGAGAAAATATATAAAAGCCCCCATGAACTTAGCATCACAACTTACTTTAGCACTTAAACTACACGGGCGTTTAAATACCCCCTTAACATTTTTTAATTTAATTTTTTTCAACCATAACACTACAATACTAGTCTCACAATACAATATACATGCGCCATGTTATTGCCACATCAACGTCACATTGAAAATTATTTAAATCAATATAGAAGTACAAAATTACTAATTTATTATAATTATTATTGCGACAAGTATCATGATTAAACTAAGCTATTAATAATTACGTTAATTACTAATTTACTCCTTACAAGAATTTTAACATTTTAAAAACACAGTAATTACACAACTCAACAAAAATAAAAATTCAGGCTAGATTTAAATTGAGTCTGATCAACCCAATTGATCAAATTTTACTTTATTAATTCTAAAAAAAAATCACTTTTACTTGTCTATTATTTTAGAAATTTTTTATTTTTTATTTTACTTCATTTTTACCATATTAAGAAAAACAATTTCGTATAAAACATTTGAGGCTTCCATTATCACATAAGAAGTGGAACATAGTTGATTGCAAGATTTTGATTGATAAGATTACCAGTAGAATCAGTACTGGGCATTCGAAGCAGTTGTCCTATGCTGGAAGATTACAAATTCTAAATGTTGTTTTATTTTCGATTCATAATTTTGGGGTGTCAGAAGTTCATATGGGGAGGCAAAGAGGATCAGAGGAAGATTCTGCAATGCTGTCTGTGTAACTCTATTGGCGAGGAAACAACTAAACATCTATTTGATGAATGCACATGGTTTCGATCTATCATGGAAGATATGATGCAATGGACTGGAATTAGACTACAACAAGAAAGTTCGAAACAAGTGTTACTGAAAATCAGGAGGAAACACTGGCAAGCCATTCAAAAGGAGATTATAGCAGCCATATGGGGGCAATGATTTACCACATATATATAGAGGGCTCATAATTGAAAATTGTTTAAGGGACGAACTGTACATACAGATAGTGTTGCCAAGCAGATAAAAGAGGAGATGTAACGATACCTTACCTATATAAAAAGTTACAAAGATCAAGAGATTTAAGGGTAGTTTGATAGAGTGTATAAGAACAATGCAAAATAAGGTGCATTAGTAATGCTTGCATTAGTAGTGCTTGCATTAGTAATGCTTGTATTAGTTATGTTATTTCTAATACATCAAACCAAACAATGTATTAGAAATAACAAATCTTGCATAATTTCTATTAAAAAATAAATGTTTACAAAAATACCCTTCACACTTTATTTATTTGTACACTTCCTTTGCAACAAAGTTTTTTGCTAAAACATCATTAACTCTTCTTCTCCTTCTTTTTTCAAAAATACTATTACATAATTGTACTATTGCGTCAAAATTTTTTTGTGAAAAGTTGGCAAAGAATTTTTTTTATCAAATTTATCGTCACAATAGTAAATTTTTTGATTAAATTATATTGAAATTAGATTTTTAAAAAAAAGATACTTAAGAGGCCATAAAGCCTATTAAGACACCAAAAATTAAAAGACACTTGAAAGCAAATCAAAATACAAACAAAAACTTATGACAACAAAGAAAATGAAAAGGCTTTAAGGGTAGTTTTGTAATTATTTAATCTAATGCAAGTGTTAAAATGCTATGTATTGCTAATACCTAGAATTCCTTGGTATTAGTAATACACAACTTAATACATAATTGAGTGCTTGCATTAGTTATACATGACATGAAAAAGTGTACCAAACAAGGTACTACTAATACAAACACCTAATGCTTGCATTATATTTTCTAGGCTTAAGTCATCTACGACCCCTTAAAGTTGTCCGCATAATTCACTTGGACACCTTAACTAGGACTCGTATCTATTGAACACCTAAATTGTTCAAAACATATACCTATTAAACACAAAACGCTGATGTGGCGAAATAAGTGTAACTCACTGCTGCTGAGCGCGTGAATGATTTTTTTTTAAAAAAAATTTAAAAATAAATTACTGCTTATTTTCTTGACACTTGGCATGTATTAATTAAATAACTAAAAACTCATTTAATTAAACATTTATCTCGTTATTTATAAAAGAAAATAACTCCACACCATGTACAAGTCCTCTTCTTCTTCAACCCACCATTTTAAAGACTTCAAATTCTCTGCCTTTTGTTTTGTTCTTCTTATTTATTTTTTTCATTTTTCATTATAAACAAACTAATTGAATTTGCAAGAAGAAGAAAAAAAAATTGGACCATTGGAGTTAAAGTTAGCCAACATTCATGCATCTCTATTTTCAATAACTCCGATCAAGCAACCATTACCATTCATTAAACTAATTAAAAATGATATTCTTTTGATTTCTCTTCATCGTCGATTTTGAAATAATTTATCGACATCGATTATTTTCACAAAAATCTCAATAATCACAGGAAGAATAGAATACAACGGGTGACATGGGAAGAAAAAAAAACAAAAGATTAGGTGGGTGTATTAGGGCTGGGGTGGGAGATATTTTTTTTTTGTCATCGTTGAGGAATTGATGGTAGAGTGACAGGGAAGAAGATGAAGAAGAAAGGGCAATGGGTTAGGTGGGGGGAGAAATTTTCTTTTTTATTCTTTTTTCATTTAATTTTTATAGATTATTAAAGGCTGAAAATATTTTTCATTTTTCAAAATTAAAAATTTGGACCCATGTGCCACGTGTCGTAATTCTATCCGTGATTTTTTCAAGAAAATGTGTGTGAATTACACGCTCAATATTTTTAAAGCTAGTTGTCATTTTATGTTCAATAAAAAAATATTTGTTAATATTAAGTGTCTAATAGGTAAGAGTTCTAGTTGAGGCGTCTAAGTGAATTATGCGGACAACTTTAAAAAAATGTGGATGACTTAAGCCTATTTCTAATACACTCTATCAAACGAAGCATAAATTACACATGTATTAGATTTAAGGTTCTTTTGAGGCCTGCGACCATCCCGTCATAAGAATGTCGAGCTGCTCCTTAGTTTGTATTTTGTTGCTTCTATTTGTCAAAGGTTATATTAACAATGTTAAAAAAAAAAAACAATTATTTTTTCTTATTTTATCCTTAACAGTGATTACATATTTCTAAAATTATCTCCTAAAACCTAAAACTATACATTAATTAATATGAATATTCTTATAATATTAATCATCACTGCAGTAAAGAGGATAAGTAAAGTGAATGGGGAAGTATTTATATGTTTAAATTTTTATTTATAATAATAAATATAAAGTAAAAAACAATTAATTATTCAGATCGGTTTTAAACTTATATACTCCATTTTGAAAAAAAACCTATTTATCGTCTCATTTTAGAAGTAGAACAGAAAGTGAAAAGTCTCAGAGAGCAGTGTGTCATAGTTTGACACTGTCGTCATCGTATCATTTCCGCCGTTTGTCTCCGCCATCCACCGCCGTTTGTCTCCGCCATTCACCGTCGACACAGGTATCCAGGTTCTTTACCTTTTCATCTTCCTCTATTGGTATCGCAAATTCTTGACTGTGATTCTTTACCCATTACGATTTTGTAACGTTAAGCGGTTTGAATAAATTACTTTTGCGTTTTCTTGGCATCTTTTCTCTTCTTCTCTATGCTTAGAACTCCAATTTGGTTGATTTCTCAATTGGGGTTTTTGTATTAATCGATTTCGGCAATAGAGGTGTTAAAAAAAGACGATTTTTCTTTACTGGGTATGAACTGGGTATATCCTATAGTTTAAGATTAGGTTTCTGGTTGCATTATTTTATCTTTCTTGACTAAAGTTTTCTTCTTCTTGTTTATATATAAATTGGGGTTTCAGTTTTGGGTTTCTTGCTCCTCCCCTTCGCCCCTGTAGGGGCTGGGGTGGGGCTTTTCTGTTGATTTGGAAGTTTCTCTAACATGGAATGTGGATTATGCATTGCTTCGGAACAATTACACCTCCTAAACTAGTTCAACAGTTGCCTATTTGAATCTTTTATATCAATTGTACTCTATTTGAATGTTGTCTCCAATTCCACCTCTATTTGTCTCCGCCATTCACGTTCAACATAGGTATCTGGGTTCTTTACTTTTCATCTTCCTGAGATTCTTTATCCATTTCGATTTGTAATGGTACGCGGTTTGAATCGATTACTTTTGCTGCACGTGTTTTCTTGGCATCTTTATCTTCTTCTCTATGCTTAGTACTCCAATTTGGTTGAATTTTCAATTGTTTTTTTCGTATTAATCGATTTCTCCGTGTGTTATATGGGTGTTAAAAAGACGATTTTCTTTAATGGAATAAAGTATAAATTGGGTATATCCTATAGCTCGTGTTGCATTATGTTATCTTTCTTGATTAGCCTGAAAGTTTTTTTTTTTTTAGTTATATAAATTGGGTTTTCATTTTTGGGTTTCTTGCCCCTCCCCTCCACCCCGTAGGGGCTGGGGTGGTGGGCTTTTCTGTTGATTTGTAAGTTTCTCCAACATGGAATGTGGAATATGCATTGCTTCCCAACAATTACGGGCTATTTGAATCTTTTACATCAATTCTACTTTATTTGGATTTGGACTATGCTGTTACATTTTTCTTAGTTTCGAAATTAGGCCGAAGATTGTGAAACTTCAATTGTGTAACTTACAATATGATGAGAGAGGCTAGGTCTTGAAAACTAGGATGTCAACATCAACAGACTGAGTGTAATCCCACAATTAAGGTATAGGAAGGGTAATGTATTCACAAACCTTATCCCTACCTTGAAAAGGTAGAGCTATTGTTTTTAATGGGCCCTCAGCTCAAAACAGATGAAAAAGACGACAATAGCAATAAGCAGGAACAATCTCAACCTCATTTCATAAATTGGCCTTTCTCCTTCATAATTTTTTTTGTCTTTCTCCATCTTGATTCTACATTCTTGTAAGCCAGCTGATGCGAATGTTGACTGATCTTGTTCAGATTATCCCTTTTAACAAGTTCCTTTTTCAATCTTCATTTATTCCCAAGCTCGTTAAGCTATTCATTAGCGAGCTTTAATATTCTTTATTTTTATATGATACTTGGATGCTGGTTATGGTGTGAAGTGATGCTTACATAAGTGAAGCAGCTTTGCAGTTTTCTAAAACATGGTTCACTTATCTTATTTTGCTCTACATTATCTTGCAATTCACATTATGGGCTTGTAGATTTAAACCGAGCCTTTTGGTTTCCTTCTGCTATTCTCTTCCAATAAAATGAATCAAAAGAGGTTAAGCAATGATGCCTCATTGACTCTCTTGAATTTATTTCAGCAATTATGAAGCGGAAGAGGCAATCTAAAATAACAGATTTGAACTTTGATGTGTTGAAACACGTTATGTATCATGTTGCTGTGTCACCTGATGGAGCTGGAAATCTTGCCCGAACTTTAGCAGTGTAAGTATCATTCCCGAAATCTTTCTCTTGTTCTTAATTCTAGATTACTGTTGACCTTATTTACCTTGATTTCTATGTCCTTTCCTATTCTTTTGATGTGATTAAGTGCCCGTTTGGATTGACTTATTTTAGGTGCTTTTAAGCCAAAATAGCTTTTAAGCAGTTTTGAAGTGTTTGGGTAAAGTTAAAAAGTGCTTATAAGCACTTATTTTAAAGCCAAAATAACAAAAATAAGCCAAAAGCCATAAGTTAGAAATCCTAACTTATGGCTTTTGGCTTATAAGTCATAAGTCAAAAGCCAATCCAAACAGGCCCGTTAACTACTCTTTCTGTGATTAACTTTGAAATTGAGTTCCTGTTGAAGCTGACGTATCACCTATGTGTATCAACTTCTGCCTAGTATATGACCCAACATATGTCCTATGGGTGTTTACGATTTCCCCTTCTACAAAATCGAAAGGGGTCCAGTAAAAGGTGTCTGCATATCTCTTGTGGTTATCTTGCAGATTATGTTGCTTCTGATCCTGATTTCCTCATCACAGCTGCAGACTGTTCAAGGAACTTGCTGATGATTCTGACATCTTAAAAGCCGCGGCATTTGATCAGGTTAAGCTTTCTGGTATTCATGAATCATTCTGGCGACCTGCTGGGATGTTATGTAGGTGCTTACCGACAGGAAATCCATCAGCTTTCAACACCATAAGAAAGGTACAGAATTCCTGTTTTGGGCATATCAGCAAGTTCTATCAGTGTTGTGCAATGCCTTTAGTAGCTTCAGGTCACTTCGCTTTTACATGGTTGCATTTCTGCTCGGATTATTGCTAAAAATGCCAGTATTGCAGAATGCAGAGATATTGAATGTTTCTTATCGGATTCTCAAGAGGGACTTGTTCCGTGGAAAGATGGTATTAATATTAAATTCTGCTTGTTGACGACATTTACACCAGTCACCCATTTAATTTCTTCTTTGATTTAGGCTGACAATAATGTTGACCTGCAGATTCTTTTTGCAAGAAGCACAGCTCTTGAAATTGCAAATACCAGAGCAAGGAAGAAGGCTCTTGCAGATGCCATAGATGTTGGTATTTTAACTTAAATATTGTTAAATTGAATTTATAAAGTGACATCAACTTCTAATTGCCCTGCATGAAACTTGTGGTATAATGCATGTACAACCAGGACTGCTCAAGTACTTGTGATGCCGTTGATGCTCAAATCAAAACTATTGAGCAGTTTTTAGAGATGTTGAAGGCTGTATTGAAAGTAATGAGAAGTCAGATTGCTCAATGAGGTTGAGCTGATGCCGCATGAGTAAAGGTAAAACATCTACAAAAGACGAGGACTCGACAAAATTCAAATTCAGCATTTGGGGCTTTAAATATGGGTGACGCAGCTTGCTGAGTGGTTAAAATCCTCTTGGACGTCATTGTCAGTGAGATGGCAACAGTTATATCAAACATAATTGTCACTTCAAACTTGCCAATTTTTGGTGCGCTGTGTGTATCTTTGTCTTCTACCATTTTTCTTTTAACATAATTGTCAGACTGAAATATCTCAAGTTCAGAGAGGATGTAAATCTATTTGCAATCCATACACTTCCATTTTTACTTAGATGTGCTCGATGGATGATAAAGCCATATAGTGTGGTGACAAGAATTGGCCTATACTTTTTTTAACTTGGTTAGAAAACGGGTACGCATACATCCTTCTCCTTCTTTTGGTCCTTTGTGTTGGGCATCGAATCCGTCTTTAGGTGCTTAATGGTGTCCCTAACACCCTGTATAAGGTTTGGTTACGTGCAGATTTCTTTTAGATTTCAATGCAGATACATTGGGCCAAGAAAGTTTTCAAAAGCAAAAGATATTATGAAGCAAAACAGTGTGGAAAGGAAATAAAACTCAATTATTGTACCAAAAAAGTTGCTTCTCAAATCTCAGTTGCTTATGTAATCAGATTGATATACTTCTGAAAAAACAACAAAAATAAGAAGGTAATTTGCCAAAATTCACATGCATAGTGTTTAAATCCTTGCTAGTTCAGTAAATTAGACGGTGAAAGAACTTCACAAAACTAGCACCAAGCAATTTTGTACTATATTAACGAAAGATGAGGGAAGATCCACTCTTTTGTAGTATTACAATTAGACTAGTCTTGATATTACTGTATATGCTGTATTTTATATCCATGTTTTCAGAATGGTCTTGCATTAAACAGTCTAAGAGCAATCTATATCTTATATGTAATCGGAACATATAACTTCTAAGAAACCAAATGTATCAACTAACCGTAACCTTTCATACTATCATATATCAATCACTAATTTGTAGTAAAGTCAATATTGTACAGCCAAAATGGTAACAACCAAGTTATCAAACTTAAAGTGCAGTAACCGCTACAGAAGCACAAAATTGCACGAGGCAAACCCTCTCCCTAATCTTCCCTCGAAAGCCAACAAGGCTCTTTTAACAGTAAAACACCATATAGCATTCAGAATGGAGATATCACTTGTAAATCAGAAACCATCTTTGCTCCAGCAGGTTGTAGCTTGTGCTTCAATGAACATATTTCGCCTAACGCCTGACACGTTCTCAGCTGCACAATGTATCCTCTCACCATGCTAATGATGGATTAAGAATGTCAGTTTCACCAAATAAAAGTGTCGTCAACAGCATGAATCTTCAGTATGTGTTTCAACTAGGTGAGACTAGAACAGTTCCCTCTGAGAGAGGGCTACATCCAGCTTGAATGTGCTGCTTTTGCAACTGCTCCAATTCACTAGAAGGGAAAACTTCTGATTGAAGGGCTGGACATATTTTGTGCACATGCAACCACGTTAGCTGCCAGAAACTGTCCCCTCCTACAGGATCACTTGGTATGAGAATTCCACTAGTTTTCATGATAAGTAGAGTGTTCTTTAGGAGCTCAGGGACAAGTTCTGGAATCTTCTCACTCCGTCTACCTTTAAATTTCATCTTCATGCATCTTTCAGTATGATCCAGTAACCCTAACCATAGTTTGCAGAAGGATGGCAACTGTGAGAGATGCTGCAGTGATTGTAGAAACACTTTGAACATGAGCTTCAGAGACAGAAAAATTGCTCCTTCAATGCTCCTGTAATCCTTCAAGGAACCTTGTGGTGCAAGTTCCAGCAATTCATCCAGCATTGTAAAGATCATCTGATCAAAACACTGCAACCACAGATCAGTTGAAATGTGAATCCCCTCAACTACTGTCAAGCACCTCTGCAACATCAAGATGGCATGACCTCGCACCTCTTCTCTCCAATCCAAACAAAACTTTCTGAGTCCCTGTACCAGCCTCAACCACATCTCAGTTATATCCTGAGACATTTTTATAGCAGCCTCTTCCCCCAGAGCATCCTTTGTCTTGTGAGACCATCTAACAAGACAAACAATTGACCCAGCCATCAGGTCTAAGGATCTCACAGCTTGATCAACACTTCCAACACGGGAGTCAGCAAAGTGGCTGGCCGCATTTAAACAAAGGATGTAATTAGCAGGCAGTAGGTGGGCCCCATCAGCCATGACGAATGATAGTGTTTCAAATCCTGCTTCAGAAGCTTCTGGATGCCGAGCTGTAATAGAAAGCAGAGATATAATTGTCCTCCAGCCCATATTAGATCGTATCTGCATAGCGTTTGCTTTGACAAGGTGCATCACCTCCTGGGTTATCTGTTCAAGAAAAGCATCGGCGACCCTTGCATCGAGCTTTAAGATGAGTTGCAGTGACTTGAGGAGCTCATCTGTGAGGTTTTCCTTGTAAGGAAGCAACCTTTGGCATATACGAAGCAGACCAAAAACAACCTTCTCTACCAAAGTACAAGGCATTGTTGTTGATTGGACAACACTTGCTATGTGCTCATAAACAACCTGCCAAAGAAGCATTATCCTATCCCGGTTGTTTATCGTGATTGCAATCAGCAACTCTAGACAGAATACTGCAGTCTCTTCATCTTCTAGAGAGATGTTGCCCTTATGAGGCCGGCCCGCAGCCATCGCAAGGGCTCGGACAAGCTGTGAAAGGGATTCTGCTTGCAAAAACTTACTCTCAGCAAAGATGGTATCAATGTGACAATTCTGAATAGTCTGAAGAGTCTGCTGACGGGCGGCAAGCTGCTTTTCATTTGGCTGAGGAGCAGGTTCTTCTGCATCAAGATATAACAGTTGGCTAAATCGGCCCATTAAGCCAGATGACTTCCTTGATGGAGCCAATGAAGGCACATGAGGTGCTGATGGGGAAGCTGCAGCAGGTTTGCTTTTGTCAGCATCAGAAGTAGACTCCACGTCATCAGCAGCATCACTAAAATGACGGGTAGGAAGAAGGCCAAAGTTATGCAAGCTCAAAATGCAGTCCAGGATGTTTTTCCAACCAGAACGAATATGGTCCCCATACTTGTTTGCTATTGTGAAGACAGCTAAAGTGGACAATCTAGCTTTATTATCTTGGGCAAATGTAACAATAAATTCATCAGTATATGATGGAAGCAAAAGAGTTGTGAACTTGCAAAGAGATACTACTAAATCATCCAATACATCATCAAAGCTGTAGGAGGCTGAAATTTTGGCAATGGCAAGAAATCCATCAATGCATGTTTGCCAGACATCTTCCTGCTCCACATGATCTAAAACCACTGAGATGGAAGCAATTGTCTGACCAGACAGCATAGCGAACATATCATAATCAAGATAAGGTCCATGATCACAGACAATAAACGGGGAAGTTTGCCTCGATTTGTGGACCAGACCAATCCAATGACTTGGTGCCAGCAATGGGGTATCAGCACCTCGATCTGAGGAAATCCGGATCTCATTCTCACAGATGGAGTGGTAAAGCTCAGACAAAAATTCTCGAGGGAGGTCATTTCCTCCATTTATTCTCCGGTTGTTGCGGATGAAATCTTCCTCCGTCATCTTCTTCTTGACCTGTGTATTGTGTTGATCCGTGTTCAGCATGATAAGTGAATATGATAACACAAGTGCAGCATCTTTGTTAACCAGAACATCTGGTGATTGCTCATAATATCGTTCAGAGAACGCTTCAAGCACCCTGTGTATTTTCTGTGATTCTCCAGGCAATCTGAACGTCTCCAAGAATATACGCAAGGCAGTGTCTAGGTTCATATCCTGAAAATCAAATGACCTTGAAAATTCATGAAGTACTTGAATATAGAATTCTTCATGACTTCCCAAGAAATCCCCAACAAGATTCTTATCCAAGCCATTTGAAAATCTAAAGAAACATGCTACACTTTTTGGATCAAGCTTATCAGGTAACAGATGCACTGCTTGGAGATATTCCATACCCTTCTTTGGATCACGGTTAAAGTGATCAACTCCAACCAACAACTTTTTCTTTATTTGCTTCATCTTATGGACAAAAGGAACCCAATGAATAGGATCATCATAGTCCTTGCATATTTCTACCCAAAATGGTCTATATTCATCGAGATTAAATGAACCTTCATCTGAAACTAATGAATCCTGGCCTATTCTCTCAGCCATACCCTGAATAATGGCAATTAGACCCTCCAGGGCAAGAGTATTTAGAGCTGAAAGTGGACTGTTAACTGGAAAAGTGCTTTTTGATAACAGGTTGGCAAGTTCTTCAAAAATATTGCTGCAGGATATATCACAATCATAATTTGCATACATTTCTGCCACGAACATATGCTGTCTGCAGAAGTCAACAAGTGTTTCCATGGCAACCTCCTGAAGTTGATAAGATGCTCCATGCTTGCTCTGGGCAATCTTCAGTAAAACACCAGAGAAAAAGGCTTCAAGCTGTAGCTTTAACTTAAAACGCAGATGATGATACAAATTTAAAACAATGCTACAAACTGTCGAAAGAATTAAAGGACTCATTGACAACCCAAAACGCATCAGATTGTGGAACAATTCCTCCTGTATCAGAGCCAACAACTTGGGATGATTTCCAAAAGAAGCACCACCTAGTTCTATGGCTGAATTAATTAAACCCAGCGCAAATAATGGGACATCTTCTTCATACGCTATAGGGTTGGATCTTGAACCAATTTCAATGGACTCCATCACATTCAGAAGAGAACATAGGAAATGAAATATCTCCACCATGCAGGGGACCCCATGAGGATCCATCATTGGATTTTCTCCATTACAAGCAATATCCCTTTTTCTAGTTTTCTCATCTGTTGGATCATCCCCTACGGACACATTAACACATCCATTGTCTTCTTGTTTCTTGCCAGTCTGCAAGAAAATGGCTTTATGAATCACAATATACAAGAAGGTGATACTAGTATTCAAGTGTCAAGAACTTAAGAGATGAAATATCTAAATCTCAATCAACCCCTCACTGATATAATTTAGAGCTCA